TCAACTCCTCCATTGTAGCGGCATTCATAAGATTTACATTAGATCCTCCATCTACTTGCACTCTCGATACTAATACTCCATCAATTGAGACATTAATCATTGGTGCACCCAGATCGGGATTCAAATTTACTTCTCAAATTTCTTTATTTTGAGATTTGTAACGAATTAATGAAGAATTCAAGATAGTTCGATACTCAGGTGCTACCGCCAATAGTTGCTTCATAGAGATCATGGGCTATATGCTATCCAAATCTTTTAGAATATCATATGGTTTCGTATTAGTGGTAATTTCCATTGTCCATTTTTTCTTTTCACTCTTAGATACCAATGCAAGTAAATTGATTTTCTCTATATTAAAAATTGGTAAAGCTACTAAAACTAAATTTGACAGAGCTTGTAAAATCGGTTCTTTCAACGGGTAAGATTATTCTCCCAATTGGGCTGATATTGGTTCTTTAGAATTCACGCTTCTCAGAGGATCTTTCAACAAAAATGACGTTTTTTGAAATTGTGTAGAGAACAGAATAGCTTGAAATAGAACCGAAGCCTCCGTAATCAGTACTTCATTAGGGTGCACAATCAATTCAAGTCTTATACTAAGTAAAGGACCCATGTCAAGACCTGGATTGGATAGCCCCGTAATTGGGTCCAATTGGCCCTTCGCTTCAGGATCATCTAAATGTTGAATTGGTCCTTTCTTTTTTTGCTGACTTCTTGTAAGGACAGCTTGGACTACTTCTACTCGATGAACTGGTGATTCCTATGTCCTATTATTTTTTTCCTCTACAATTTGTACAATCAATTGTATCTTCTGATCATGATTATTAGGGTTAAATAGAACATTACATTGATAATGAAAATGATCCAATTTCTTGCAATTTCTACATATTGGAGCATATTCATCTATAAACCTTGGATTAGGGCATTCATTGGCATAATGACCAATTTTTCGGCACTGATAGCAATATAGTGGTTTTCAGCCCATACCGTCAAGTATACTTGGAGTCTCCACTGGAATATATCTACTAGGTCGATTCCAGGTAGCCATAGTAAATGATCTTGGCTGACTAGTTGCTATTAGTCGAGAATTGGACTACTGAATTTGTATAGTTTGGGGATTACCTACTTGATTATTTCCACCGTTCTGTATATTTGTTCCATAAATTGGATTATAATTAGTATTTTAAAAATTTCCAAAGCCACAATTAGGTCGATTTGGGCGATTACTATTCCAACCACCCATATTTCTAGTCTGTACTTGATTAACATCCCATTGAGTTGGCTATATTAACGTCTGGTTATTGAACTGTTGTTGCCTTTGTAAATGCCAGCAGTTTTGGGTAGGGTACTTTCCTCCACAAAATGTACATTGAACACCTATTTATTTGGATGATGGACATTTCGTATCAAAATGACCTTGTCTCTTACAATTATTACACCATACATTAGGTCTTGTATTAGAAGGCTTATGTCGTTTCTCCTTATCTTTAGCCAAATTCACGGCCAATTCTTCCATCTTCTTTGTTAGATTTAATAACAAGGCTTCATTTGGATCTTTAACAGTCATATTTGTAAACAACTCCGGTTATTGATAGGTTGGCGATGTAAAATAAGGTATCATTGTTATTGGCGCTATTGCTTAGAGTGGGGTAGTATTAATTGATTTTTGTAATATAACATTCTTCACATTGGAATCAGCCATTTGTGGATAATTATCCATCGACACATTTTCCGATTATATTTGTTGGCTTCTTGAACTTAGAATCATCGTGGCCTCTAATGTTAAGAATTGGTCATAATGACATTCTTTCCACACCTTTGCTCGTGCCAACGATGCCTCTACCGTAGTTGGTCGAGCCTCTTTTATAAAAAAATTTAATTTTGGTTTATACAAACTATTGCTGAATATCGACAATATAAACGCATTTGGCATTTGATTATTTGGCCATTTATGAAGTATATCCCCGACCCTGCCATAATAGGACTCTACTGATTCCCCCGCAAACATCGTGCTATTCATAAAACTTTTTCTAAGCCGATCTTTAAATCCAATTGGTCTAAAATGGATTGGAAAGGCATTCCTTTAGGCCTCCCAATTGAAAAACCTACCCATTGGTTGCCAATTATATCATTCAAAAGCTATATCTTTTAAAGTTGTTGGCAACCATCTCAACCAAATATCTTCAATTCTATCATTATTAGCCATGCAGGCTGTTAAGAATTGAGATATATGGTAATCAGGATCAGAGCCTGGCCAACCACTAAAAGTAGGTAATGGTGCCACACTTATAGTGTGGTTTCCTATTACTCTCATTTGTATTGCAATTGGTACTTCTGGCACTCTTGCGGCCATTGGTGTTATCAATGGTCTCCTTGCTATTTGAATTTGAATTTTTCTTCTTTTGATTTTACTTGGACCTACAATTCCTTTTTGTCGTTTCTGTAGGAGATTTCTTATGCATTATCGCTCTTGTCTTTCTTTTGCTTGTCGATTAATTCTTTGATAATCCTCCCCTTTATGATTATTACTTATAATCTTTTATTTTTCTTTAGAAAATGAATACTGCCTTGAATTATAACTCACATATTTGTAACCCTAAAACTGGTTCTTCTCACGTTTTCATTCAATATATAATTCCATCTCCCATACAATCAATTTCTAATATTTCAAATTGTTATCATTTCCTTGGCAGCAGCGCCAAAATGTTATTCTCGTTGTATTCAAGTTTCAATATACCAAAGCAATTGAACTAATAGAGGTGGGTTCGAACACAAAGAAAGACTGGTTATAAGAATTAGATCTGTTAGTGTCACAATTGACTATATTCTAGCTATCTGAAATCAATTATTAAACTATAAAACACCAAGGCTTACTACTTCCATCTTAATTCAACACATAATCCATTCTACGACTATCAATTCAACAATACTTTCGTATTCTTATCAGTTCATCTCCCACTTACTCTCTTTGCGGTTTATATATATTCAATTACTGATCTCCAGCTTACTTATTATATTCAATTTCTCAATTCATCACACAGAATTCAATATCTTCTTTTAATACAACACAATTCAATAATCTCAATTCTCAAGGTCACAGATTTTCTCCAAAATTGTCAGTCCAAAGTCATATTCCACAATATTCTAATCATAGTTTCAATAATACTTCTCTCAATCACAATTCTTCATAAACAAATAATAAAAACAAAGAAAATAAAGAGATAGCACCAAGCTTATCCTGTCTTACGACTCTCACAGTCTGGCCCCGATCTCCCTTTTTTCAACCTCTTTATCCTACCAAAAGATGGACCGTCGGCCAACAGATTCCAAAGGTTATGAACCTTTGAATTCTTAACCATTTGTTCCACTAACAACCTATTGTTACCAACTAAAGTGCCTAACCATAAGTCTAATTCTCAAGGTTGTCAATAACCAACTAGTAACTTATTACAAAATTTATTTACATATTCTACACTTTTTAATAAGATATTAAGAATTTAATCTATTTTTATTTTCTTCTATTTAGTTCTACTTATCTAAATAAATATACTAGTAAATAAGGCTATCTATTAAACCCTTGGAAATCCTTTACTTGACAATAAGTTATTTTTGAGTTAATCTTTTTTTTAGATTTAAGGATTTTTACAAGATTTGGTCCATGTTATAAAGTCTTTGCCTATGAATTATTTAGATTTAAAAAAAAAAAAAAAAAAAAAAAAAAAAGTATAAAATATATTCTATACAACAAATACAATTTGGCATGGTATAACTAATTATAAGCAAATTATTTAGAAATTTATCAAGAAAAGACTAGAAAAATATCCATAATACAATTTTATTTTATTCTAATGATGTCATAGTTTTTGTATGGTTAATCACATATTTGGTTCTAAATGTAACAAAATAATTAAATAAAGCTCTACAATTCATTATTATAGAGTGATCATAGGTAAGAGTTTATATGAACTCTTAGTAATAGTTGTTCTATATTCTTTGTATTTTTAGCTTTGTCTTTGGGTATAAAGAATAAAGTAGTCTAGTTTAATTTTTTCTACTACATGAATGCATTAAGTAAACCATTTTTATGTATAAATAAATAAATAAAATATAAAAAACTTTAGGATCTTATAGAAAGATCTAAAAGAGTTTAGAAATCTACACAAACCTAAATTTTTTATTAGTTAATTTTTTTTTTGTTTTTAATCTGATATAGCACAAGATTAAAATGAATAAAATCATAGCCTACATTTTTTTGATTGAGTTTGAAGCTATACTTTTGGCATTATTTAAAAAAATACGATATTATTTTTTTTAATAAAAAAGTGTATGGGATATCATTAAATCAATATCCATCTTGTAAACGTTTTTATAATAGGATAAAATGCTTCAATAAAAATAATTTTAATATGTAGAATTATAATTATTAACTATAATTTAACTACAATTTATAATTATTTAACTATAAATTTATAATTTGATATTATTTTTTATTATGTATAAATTTAATATAATAAAATAATCTAAAAATTTTACTAAAATAGATCTACAAAGAAAAAATATATTTTTTACACAAATATATACATGCACATACACAATAAATAAATAACCATGTTTCAAATATAGTATAGAAATTTTAAATCTAGTATTGTATATTTTGGACTATCAAGAGTTTCAACCACTTTCCTACATTCAATTATTAAATTTTTTATGGTTATTAGATGGTTTTTTATTTGAATATAATTATAGTATTTCTAAAGATAGAACACATGCTTAAAATCCAAGTCGTAAAAACGAGGTTTCCAAGTAGTTTTGGGGACCCCAAGTTTGGCAGCCACAACGCGCACAGACACAGAGTCAAGACGGACTACATTCATACATAACCAACAGCGACCTACCATGTACATTCATCCACGGTGAGCGGGACGGCAGCGCACTGGTGGACGCCACAAGCTCATCCGTAGTGAATAAAAGGGGGATCGCTCGTCTACAGGCCCGCTAGAATAGCAGAACGCGTTGAACGGCAGCACGTGCTGAGGACTTTCTTCGATCACATGGCTATTCCAATCGATGCATCCTACCTGCTACGCTAACTTGGATCATATTCAAAGGCATTTGTCAGCGTTTTGATCCCTCGAAATACTTTGCCGAGTTCAGGGGAAGTTGGCTCGTGGGTGTAGGTGGGATTCGTCGTTATCGCAAGGAAGGAATAGGGATCGAGAATAGGTTATGGCGGACAAGCCTTCACGAGCGCTTGTGATCTATGGCGACGGTCTTGCGGATGCCGTGGAGTCTCATCACTCTCATCTTCACCAGCTCGCTGCTTCTGGATCCTGTGGATTCCTCGCATTGCGAACTCTGTCAACGCCACACCCTGGTTCGTCGGCCGATGGAAGTGAAAGGACGGTCTTAGAGCTTGCTCAACTGTTGGATGTGTATGACATATACACGGAGAAGGCACGCAAGGAGGATGCATCGGGAATCACGGACGCAGGCGTGGATGAGGAGAGCTCGAAGTTACCGAGTATGGCTGAGAGGTTTATGGGAATGAAATCTACGTTTATCACGAACTCGAAGCCTGCCCTGGCGCTAAGTAAACGGGCTGGATTTTCCGTGAAGCCTCTTACTGAGGACAATGGCCCACCCCATGCTAACGCCACGGCCTCGACAGTTCTTAGTTTGTTAGGTTTCTGCGAATCCAGTGATGCCAAAGAAACTAATGAGTTGGTGTTTTTGCATCTGGACGGATCTTCCTCAGGAACCGGGATTGAGTACCTGAATTCTTTGATTGGATGTGTACAAGATGCATCGAAAGAAGGATCACTTGCATACGGCCATCTTTTCCTTGTCGTTGTGTTAGGCTACGGGGATGCCGCGCTTGGAGCAAATGGTGGTCGGAGTTTCAAAGAGGAGATTGCGTTGCCATCTGAACTTGCGGCACTACGGCCGGTCCAGAGCTACAAAATGAAGACGGGAAAGGCTGTTGAAGGAATTCGGGAGGATTATCCGTTGCTGGCAGTGTACAACCAAGTTGCTGTGACTCGTCGGGATGAAGTTCAAAAATTCTCGTTTGATGATTTTAAGAAGCGGGCAGGCAACCTTGTGATGCTGGTGGATCGGTTTCTGTATGAAGTGTCTTTCAAATTGTGGAAGGCGCCGAAGTATGGAGCTTAATTTATATTGGAAGGACATGTCATGTAGAATGTAGTGAACTGCTTCAGTTCAGGACAAGCTCAATATTGCCGAATGGGTACACAGATTAGAACTGCAAATAAGACCAAAGTAGGAAGTCAATCGGACCAATTCACGAGTAGATCTCAGCAGGTTGACTTTGTGCAGAACGATTGGTTTCTGAGCTCTACACTGAAAATTGAAGCACTGAGCAAGGTCATTCAAAACTCCAGCGTTTTCTTCTGAACAGTTATAACCTGCTGAGAAATTCATATCTTTATGTGATATTTTCCGAACTGTGCCAATTGTACGAGTAGAATGTCTTCTGGATTAGTCGATCTCTTTAGCGATCGACATTATACCTCTTGTAGCAGAATGCTAATCATTGTTACAGCAGAGCATTATCTTCACTGTAAACGACATAATTCTCGGGCAAGACAAGTCAATGCATATCATCATACCAGAGCCGGCATGCAATGATTGGTATGCGCAACAGATGAATGTCAGCGCACTAGGTCAATTGAGGACAACAGACTTTATTCTTTTATCTTTCTGGGAGCCATGTACAAATTTCAACTTCATAGCTAGTAATCTAACATATCCGGCTAGTTAAAATCTCCTGAAAGATCATGTTTCACAGAACTTCTGTTTTGAAAATTTCAAACAATTTGGATGGAGGGCATTTCTACTAGGTGCCACAGCCTACTTTTGACGTAGCACTATTGAGGACCAGTTAAAGACCGACCCTGAGATAGTAGCCAAAGCAATAAGACGCAAAATCAGTGTTGCAAGGTGGAGACATATATACAAGCATCCATAAATATGGAAAGTGTTAGTAAGGACCAAGTAATCTGAGTTTCAGATCCCATATTCACCTCTAAGTTAGATCGAGCTTTACCGTTAGCTATCCTATCATCTTCAAATCAAGAGCCAAAATTGCAAACCTTCGAGCACACTACCACTTAATACTTCACTGGATGTTGAGCAAAAAATGTGTGAATTGGATCACAACATAGCAGCAGCTCGGACTCATTAAAAGAGAGCCAAGGAATTAATGGATTTGGTCTAGAGTGCTAATCCTGCACCAGCCACCTTGCTTGCAGGAATACGTTGCCTCTTCTCCACATAGGATGATGGAAACCACCCTGCTTTACCTCTACATTCACCTTCCGACCATCCAGTTGAAGTCACCTGTCAAGCGTGAAAAACTGTTATAAGGGCAGACAGATAATTTCAGAAAGCACTATAACCCCATTAGAAACATTCCTACTGTTAACGATCTAAGCATGGTGTCAGCCTCCACAAGAATATTCTGGTCAGACCCAAATACGATCGCAGTAACCATACCTGGCGTACAACCACATAATCTCCAACTGCTAAGCTTAGTTCTCCTCCATCTTCTGCTTCAAATGGGTGCATGATCTACAACAATATTGTTCAATATTAATCATGGATAACTACATGACGAGAAATAAGGCTATTTGATGACCATATAATGCTGATGCTGATGCTGATGCTGCTCTATCTCAAGTGGCACAGGACGAACTAAAAGCTAACGTCATAGGCTATTGATGCAACAAGATTGCTGCACGGCGCAATGCCAATCGAGGAGTACCTCAGCAAGGAAGTATAAGGACGTCGCTGAATTTGAGTCACAATCCGCTGAAGCATGCGGTAATCCACCATTGACCTGGACATCATCGTATGGTGGAGATGTTTGCGTGTCATCCGTTGCTGGTGTAGTTGATTCACTGCGTTGGCTCTCATCAACCATCTGCAATTTGAAGCATTAATGCTGGACCACATATATTGCATGCCCACTTCTATTACTTCTATTGTGTGCTTTCTCTAACTTCTATAACTGCCTTTAGTAATACTTTTTAAAACGTGAACCAAATTCTTATTCAGCGCAGATTCGTACATACCAGAGCACACTCCACAATCGTAAAATGCAACTCTCCAGTCACTATGCAAAGATAGAAAAGAACTTGCTCTTCTAAATTCATCTCGTCATTCAGCAATAACAAAAGGTCATACCGTTTCGTGAAGTTGATCCAAAATCTCTGTGGCGCGCTGATGATATGTGCGTTCAGCTTCAACCTGAAGAATGCAGGAAGGTCAGCAATGTCGAATTAAGATGGAACAGACAGCAGAATTATGTTTCCAATGTAAAGAGATTGCGACAGACGACTAACTTGACCACATTCTCAGCTGATTGATACTCATAGAGCAGCATACTCATACCAGTGATGCTAGGGTCTCTCGTTTCAGTACTATTTGACAAAAACGTATTTTTCAACACATTATGAAATAAAGAATACATCATGGACAATGGAAGTCGACAACAGAACTGCGAATTCCTTCCAAGCTTTTCTATCAAGTTGATTAACTGACCTTTGAAAGTCATGATCCTCACATCCATTTTCATAAACGAAAAGTCCAACCAACATGTAATTCTGTACTCAATTCTTAACGCGGAAACCGTGCTCTTCATAACACCCACCATACTGATCAGTCGCTGCAATGTCACGCGCTGCTGCTGAGCTTCCACCGAAGTCATGGCGGAAGCAGCCTCCTTTCCAAGTCCTGCCATGGCTGACAAAAGCTCTCCCAGCTTTTGCTCTGCCATTTGAAGCTTCTGATCCTGTTCGGTATTTCCCTCCTTGCTCTTGACCTGTTTTCTTCCAACATCTAAAGCCTGCCCAAAAATGTTCAGACAGATAAAGTTGGTACCTTCTACATTCCGATCCTAAACAAACTCCGTAGAATGACAGTAGCTACAAACGGAGTCTATCTACATCTATATCTCACGATACAACATTACTGCTCAGCACGGTAAGGCCCATCTCTATTGCTAACTTCTTGAAACTACGATGTTCCAGCCCTGAGGTGAGGTTTGTTTCCTTGAAAGGATATGTCTAAAAAATTAATGAGGTGATAGTTGCAATTCAAATGATAAAGAATATTTTACATGATTGGCATACCTGATTTTCAGCCTCTTGACGTAAGCGATCGTATCGTTGTGCCAGATGACGAGCATCTTCCAAAGGTGCGCCCATTACCATTGCTCTCAAAGGTTCTGCCACCTGTTGGGTCAGCATATCAAACTGAGTTTTTGGTACAAGATCAAAGCTTAATATACAGAAGTCCTTGAAACAATCATGCGCAGAAAACTGGTAAAGTGAGGTGCCAATATGAAACCATTCTACGACAAAGTAGACCACCTAGTAATCATGTTAAGTAATAGTACTTCTACACCGGAGACAAAATTTGTGAAAACCACGTATCCATAAGTCTAAGCAATCTACAAACCTGGGTGCCAATGGATCGATGCATGTTGTCGCGCTCCCTCTCCATCTGAGTGCGTGCTGTTCCAAACTGCATGGCAGCTCTTGCAAGTGCCCCTCCATTGCTTGGCCCTTCTGTAGCATACTTGCGACAATCCTCTGCAAGCTTGTTTACTGCAGAACGCGTCCATGTGAAACTCTAATTTAGGGGCTATCAACAACAAAGTTTTGAAAGTTGTACAAGTTTAGTGTGCAAGTTCTGCTAATTAAGATTCATTCATACACAAGAGAAAGACCAATGTATAGTTACTATGAAATAAAACTTACCAATTTCGAGTTGTTTGACGCCAGAAGATATGATGCCCTCCACAGCACGCACAATTTCCCGTTGAAAATGCTGTTGACTAAGAATAAGAAAGTTGAGAATTCTCCAGAATTTCATAACATATATAAAATCGAGCAAACTATCTGGATAAAAAGAATTGAAGCAAACAAACTGCTAATCTGTTGAATAATTAGTATGTACACACAAACAGCAAAGGTAATATTCATTTCGCTCAATCTTTCTATCACAAGTCACATCTTCCCAACAATCTAAAAATCTCTGGAAAGCGAACCTTAGCAGTCTTAGTGGAGATATAAAGCTTCTCGAGCTGCTGATGCCGTTGAAGCTCTGCCTCGTCATGAATCAAGTAGTCTCCTTGTGAAACATACCCTGAAAATGTCTTAAAAACGGCCTGTGTATATGCAAATTCATGCTCAGCCCTTCAGACAGGAGAGGTTATGCATATAAGAATGAATGTAAGAACCCAGAGCACTTTGTAACAACAAGTTGAGAGAATATATAACAACAATAGCTCATCAACAAGCACCTGCTGTTGCTTAGCGACCGTTTCTCTGAATGCACTAGCTCGTTTTCTGATTGCATCCATTTCTGCACACGAAAATGCGAATTAGCAATCACACAAATCCTAGTTATTGCAGATGCCTTGGTTTAAGTCCTTAAATAGAAGGAACTAATGCACGATAAAGTCTTGTTTATGATAACTATAGTAGTTGGCACTGAATAACATAAATTTCCTACGGTAACGCGCTTACAGTCGTCCGCTGTAGCAAAAACTGAAATATCACAATTTAATTGAAACATCTAGCTTCTCCTGGACCCGAATTAATTAGGCGCATCAACTTTTGAGCTGAAGGACCATTACATGTTTTAACTTCTAACGAGATTAGTAGAACATTCTGTTTGATTGTCCAATCGAGCTTCTGTACGACTAATTGGCTCCATGCAAGCTTGAACTCCCGTAGGATCTGCAAAGGTAAAGGTCTGTATATTACAAATAACTAGCGCTATCAACGACTCACATTTTCTAAGTCTGTTGATTAGCTCCAATGCAGCAAATCATCATGGAGTATATCAGTCCGCCAACGAAGCGAACGACAACCTCATCTCGAGCATTGGATCAACAATCTCAACCTGTCCAAAATAGCCAGTTCGGAAACGAATCCGATTCGTGTGGAAAACGAACTCCAACGACAAGAAGTTGGACTGAAATCCTGCTGGTCACAAAACCAAGCATGCGACTAGAATTCTTTTTCACACGTCAACATTCTAAACCTAAAACCGGCGTCGAAAAAGAAATGATAGGAGCTATGGATTCTAAAAGACAGAACACATATAAAGCTCCACTTAGGGCACATTGCGAGAAAGAAGATACGACTCTAACACAATCATGCCAGATTCTCAAGAACCAGAAAAAAGCTTACACCTCACAAATAATTTGAAAGGCAGTACCTATTCACGGAATTCCCCCGCAAACGATCCCGATGTTACACTGCAGCATCAAACGCTACAGGTAAATAATAGAATAGAAGACACACTCTCAGCTGTTTCAAGGCAAAACTCTACAACATGCACAAAGTTGGACAGAGCGGGCAATCCGGGCCCAACCAGGAAATCAGTGACTGCGGACGCGGAGGAGAGAGTCGGAGAGACGGGCATGGTCATAGGTCGGGGGGCTGCGTAATGTCGAGGACGACGGACCGGGACTCGACCTGCTGCTTTGCTACCTACGTGGAGGCTGACGTGGCATAGTGCGTATCCAGCGCCATCCGACGTGTAAGTGACTGGTGTACTTTACTGCTGATGTATTCTGAAACATTTGGCCATTGTTTCAACAGCTTAATTATTTAATATTCACTGGCCTATTAGTCTGAATTGGAAAAATAAAATATTAAAATTCCAATGGTCATAATCATGCCTCTTTAAATTAGAGCTTTTCCCAAAAAAATCCTAATTTTCTTAGAATAAGCTTAGCCAGATGTCCTAAAATAAGGTTCCAATGGTATTTGTCCGCATGGTTGGAGGAGGTGCCAAATGATATGATCCGTGCAAAGGAATATCAATTTGCAATTACAACAGTCACATCAGGGATATGCACGTCAAATTCACCATAATAAAGGAGTTGCAAATTCCTTGGAAAATCCTTTGTAGTGAGAAAATTTGGCATTGCGCCAATCCTATGAGATGAGAATACAAACCAAGTTCCATTAACACAATTCTTGTTCTATGAGAAGTTTGATTGTGAAGAGGTCGATTTCACAAGGCATAAGTGGAAGTAGGTGGTGAATGTAAAGCCATTCTCAATTCCTTTCTGCATTGATAACATCACAACACATATGAAGTCACAACATGCCAAAGCATGGACAGAGTACAACACCCTCTTAGATGCCTCAAAGAACTACTTCTTTTACTAGGTGAATTTTAAAAACACCATCACAACTCATTTCGAGATTAAGAAGGCACTCATGTTTATAGTTAATCGAAATATTATGGATGTGGTTATTAGTGACATATTCTTCAATGTAGATGACGGGGAATTTCAATTGACTTGTGAATGGGTATTGTCAATTTTGAAGTTCTTGAAGATGCAAACAACAATCAAATTGAGTTCAATAGAGAACAAGATTTGAACTACAAAGTGTACAAGATAGAGATCAATTCTTCGTGACTATTTAATAAAAGCCTTTGCACTTGTAATAGCCATATACCAAGATCCATAGATGACTAGATTTGGAGTGATATAAGCCATAGCCAGAATCTTTGTATTGCATGAATCTTGTACTTTATACAAATCCACCAAAGATTGAATTAAGCCTTCAAGTTAGGCTTTCTATTGATTCAAAAGAGTGCTCAATCCTTACAAGCATGTCTCAAAGGTGGAGATTATCTTTGTAACATCATCCAATGTGAGCACTACTAGCTACCAAGAAAAAAGAAGAGTTCATGTGGGTAGCATTCATGATGAGCCTTATGGCTTCATTTCCTACAATCAAGATCAAGGCTATGGTTTATAACATGGTAGCCTTGTTTATTGGGCTTGTCGACAACATTGTATCCATTGTTACTCAATACAATTGCAACAATGATATTAGTAATGAGGATATTTTGAAAGTGCTACCCTAAAATTTGTATGCACTACGGACATCTCTATTGTGTATTTCTATCTATCGACACATGTTATGATTGGAATTGACCAAATAGGATGCTCAATCCATCAAGGATATTAAAAATGACCACTAAGCCATGGTGCATGTCTACCACATGGAAATGACTTTAAAGACGCCATTGACAAGTGCTTTCATTCATGAACAAAATCTCATGTTGAATAGATTTATTGCGATAGTCGATTTTCATAACTTCAAATTTTTTGTAGTTAACTAGCCTCCATTTTTTTTAATACAAGTATTGTCAAATCCAACTTCTCCATGATCTGGTGGGAGAAGGACAAGTATTGATAGTACCTTATGGACTTTTTACTCGAGAGTATCTTGCACTCTAAACAATTTGATAGAGTTTGACAAATTTGATGAGAATGGATGCTTTTGGACAACTTTGTAGATGAATTTCATCCATTTTTAATTTACCTAAAATAAAACCTTACTTAGACTCTAAAATAAGCTAAATTAAGTATTTCAGGAAAGCCCTAGTTTAAAGAGGTTAAGTCATAATCAATCACTTTTTTGTTTTGTAGGATATCATTACAATCCTTCAAAACCAAAGTAATTTCATTCATATTTTTGTTTCTTTAAATACTGAAGTACATGAAACTTTTATTCATGTTCACCGCCTTCTGCAATTGCGACGAGAATGGTCGGACTGAGCCATGCGGCGGTTTGGTGCTCAGTTGTTGGCGAATGCTTCGAAGCTGCTCAAGCTTGTCTCCGAAACCACAAGATTATCGATATCAAACTTGTGCGTGTAGAAACCGTATTGAGTCTCGAGAGATTAACGGCAGCTATGGTGCAAGACGAGAAAAACCTTTTAGGAGGAATTTCGAGCAGGCCATGGCGCTTTCTAAACGTCGCGAGTTAGTCTGTGAGAATCCCTGACCACGCAGCCGATGAGCACGAGGAATGTTGTGTTGCACACGGGGCTCCTGCGTTGGATGGATACAGAGTTAGATTGGTTGGTCGGAGTGGACAAATGATCGGAAGCGTTTTTTTAAAGAGAGATCTATCAAAAGCAGGAGACGATGGAGACCTTTTGCCTTGTACGTGGACTACGCAGGTAACAGTGGTTTGTAGTGATTTAACACTGGCCACCTCATTTCTCTTACCTGCAGGTTTTGTGAGTGCCTCATAACCACAGGTCCACCAAGTTATGAAACACTTGTAACCACAATGGAAATGGTGGTTACCATGCTAAGTTTCTTCAGAGTTGGTTGAGCGATAAGGTTAGCATGAAATTGTTGCATTCACTGCCGCAGTCCTCACAATTCAATCTTGAAGAGTGATCCAGTGAGGCATGCTTATTCTTCCTGAAGAATGAAAGCCTTCATTAAGGTACTACTTACATGAAACAAAGGCGTTGGCTTGAAGAAAAACAACTGAAAGAGACGCCTGCACTGGAGTGTTTTGTCTTCGCAGAAGTTTGCAAACAACCAAGAAGGAATTGCAAGTGGATGCATTGTTTTCCTACCTTCATTAGCTAACTTAGTGTTTATCGACATTCAAGTCCATGTTGACCTGTCCACTTTGAGCTAGGTGAGGAGCATCGATCTTCAATCTCTGAAACCTAATTAACTATGATTCTTTTGAAGGGATCATTCTCATTGTACACTTTAACCTGGTTAGTTAACATTCATATAATTGTTGATATTTCTTGATCTTAGTATTCTAGATCCTCCCTAGAAAAACACATCATCAACAATTCAATTGTTGAAGGCTATCAAATTTGCTACAATTGAATGGAATCCGTGATTTAAAAAAATAAAAAATACCGCTTCAGTTGGTTGGACTGCAAACATTGTTAATCGTACATACAGTCGTGTAATCTCTGCAAGTATCGTCACTTCAAACTCCAGATTTCCTCCAATTCCAGTTGAAATGATGTTGTAAGCGAAAATTAGGTCGTTTCCCGTTCACTTAAACTTCTTCGCACATGAGAGTGCAAAGCAATTGGCCATGTGTTAGAATCCATGACGGCATCTTGATCGCAGCACGTCACTTCCAACTCAAAGCTGGGCAGTGATACTTGTGGGTGTATTTAAAGCTTCACGACCTGACGCGCAAAGTGCATTGGAGACTGCAAGTTCCTCTTTGTAAATGCTTAATGAAAATGCAAACACTACCATTTCCTCGCATGATGCAGGAACACCGCGGAAGTTTACAACTCTGCAGTTCGTGGCAATGACATAAATGAGATAACGGGACAACTATTAAATTGATTAATTTTAAAAAGAAATGGTTTATATTGGTTGAAATTTTAATTATTAAGTTGGTTTTATAATGAAAATAATTTCTCTAAAGGTTTTTTGAAGAAAAGATGAGGTGAAATGTATTTTTTTACTATACCGTACTTTCAACATAGTATTTTTATAACATGATTTTTTCTACATAGTACATAGTATAGATAGTATTTATTCTCCAAAAACTTTAGAAAGCCTATCTCAAATGGTGATCTTTTAGAAATTAAAAACTTGCATTGAAACTCCTTAAAATAAGCATTTAAAAAATAAAAAGCAAAGTTTTTATATTTTTCTTGTCATTATGTAAAACTAGATACAGATTGATATGATTAGACTTGAAATAAAATAATAATTTGGTCCATTTTATAACCTCTTCTCACTTTACAATATTTCCAAAGGTGCAGCCTTTTACAGGAGGTCTTTTCTTCTTCAACCAAGTGACCTTCCTAAGGCTTTTGAACTATAACTTTTCAAAGTGGCTTCTAGATTTAAAAGACTTCTAAGAGTAAATTGCCCTACTGTTGTACTGAAGTGGATTCTATTAATAGAAACATGATACATATTACACCCTTTCTTGTAAATCTTTGTTAAGATTCTAATCCTCAATAAACTTTATTCCTCATATTGAAATTATTTAAGTTTGTTTACATTCTAGAAATCAACACCAATCAAATATATATTTAAATTTATAATTGGCATAAGTACAAATCTTCTATCAAGGTTTATTTTCCCTTCTCTTTTGAAAATTTGAAAATATTGGTGATTAATAAATCAAAGATGCATTACTAGTTAGTAGTGACTTTCATATTTAATTGTTGTTAAAAGACAAATTTATATCATATATATATATATATATATATATTATACTAAAATAAAATATCAAATAAAATTTCAATAAATAAATAATTTGTATGTATTTTATATTCATTGTAAATTATTTTTAATTAAAAATATATAGATATATATAGATATATAAAAATAAAATCAAATATACAAATATAAATAAAATGAAGTATTATCTATGAATCTTTATTAATTAAGCTTTTAGAAATATACATTAATAAATTTTTATTTTTTATACATAAAATAAAAATAGATAATATAATAAAACTTTTATTGAGTCAAGTAATGTAATCAACTATATTTTATTTTATTTAAGATTTTAAATTATGATTTTAGAAAAACCATGATTAAGAGCTTTTAGTAAATCATAAAGCTTAGAATTGTAAAAAATATACACATATTATTGTAATCAAAACCAATATTAAATATAAATTTAAAATTATTTTTTTATTGTATTATTTTTAATTTAAAAGAAAGTCTTAAATATAAAAACTATTCTCAAAATATATTAAATTATTTCACAAAAATTCAAAAAATACACAATAAAATAAAAAATATTTATATTGAATATATATATATATATATATATATATATATACATATTAGTAGTTTTTATACTTACGAGACAAGGCGAGAAGCTTGATGTCTGAAAGTTTTTGATTGTTTAAAATTAAAAAGCCTCTTTTGATTGAATTTATGTTTTTTAAATTAAAAATAAGATCATTTTAAAAAATTAAAATTAAAAGTATGAATTATTTTTTTACTTGACATAAATAATGTTAATTTTTTAGAATTTGTATCACACTTACCTCAAGAGTTGGTTTTAAAAAAAATTTAAGAATTTGTAGATAAAATTATATAAATATTTCATCATATATTTACATGTTTACAATTATCAAAATGAAGATATTGTTTCTTATACATGAATTTATAATGAAAATGCTTTGATATATGCTACAGCCTCTTTTAACTTTGTGCTACTTTCAATAGCTAAGGTCTCTAAAATATTATTATTATTATTATTATTTTATTAAATAAGACATATTTTCAAAGCTTTTAGGCTTTAACCTTTCAAAATAGACTTCAAAGTGTAGAGACTCCTTTAACATATGTGAATAAATAATAATTATTATATTAAACAATTCTATTTAATAATTCTATGCATATAATAGATAGATATATATATATATATATATATATATATATATATATATATACTTATTTTACTTTTTACATTTATATAGAGAGTTGTTAGAGCCATACTCCCTCAAACCATGTGATGATTAATTTTAGAAGACAAAGAACAAGGAATGGAGATAGGGAATGGAAAAGGGGGATTAGGAATGGGGGACAAAAACATGAAACAAAAAATAGAGATGGAGATGGACAAAATTGATTATGAGATGATAATGTGAAGTGTAGCTTTAAGAACTCCTTTTATATATTATAGAATGTCTAAACTTTATTGGAAGCATTAAAGTTTAAGTATATCTCAAATTAAGCCAAGCAAAATTTTTGTAGAATTTATGGAGTATTTTTAAAAATATGTTGTACTTATGCTTAATTTGAAAATAAATGAGGTTGTTTTCATAGTACTAATAATTATTTTATAGCATTATTCTTATAAAATTTTACATTATATATTAAATTTGTATAAAATTTAACCATATAAAATTTAATTTATTTATAATTTTAAATATAATTTAATCATCTAGCATAAATATAAAAAAAAAAATAACCATCTTTTATAGTAATATATCTTTTTAATGTTCTTTTTATAATAATTATAATAATTTACATTGAAATATATATATATATATATATATATATATATATACATATATACATACAACCACCAACATGATCAAGTATTCATTTTAGATTTTATATGTTATAATTTTTATCATAAAGTTATAATTTTTTTATTATGTACATTACTTTACGTTTTTTGTGTAAATCTATTTATTCATATTTGATGTATGGAATTGCATTCTTAACATCTATATATCAAATAAAGCCAAATGTAATCATTTGATTTAAAACATTTTATAATGCAACAAAATGCAATTATTATGTACTTATAACCATTAAATGAATTTATCAAATCAACATACATAACTTTCTTTTTACAAACTCTATCTTCAACTTTGCATTTAAAAATTAAGAGAAATTAAATTTGTAAATAAAAAAAATGGGAGCAAAATAGAAAACATATGAAAATATTGAAAGTGTATTCATTGTCAAAATTGTAAGATTGATGTGATACTGAATTTTTTTGGTTTTGAGTAGATTTGCATTTCAATAATTTTGAAGTGTAGTTAGAAAGAAGACATACAAGACATTCACAAAGCCTGGCATCACTTTCACTTGGTCATTGCTTGCACAATATCGCATTTAAATCGATTTAAGAATCAGAATTGGCCCCATTGTTTTAGAATAATTGCTACATAATTACACCGCCCTTACTTGTAAATGTTAAGGATGAATGCCTTGTGCTTGAGAAACAGAGAGAGAAAGTATATGCGACTAAATGGGACAATAAAACGATCAATACACAAATAATGGGCTATCTTTGAACCCCAATGCAGCTTTGTGGTTTTCATACAATCTTTCAACGGCTTCAATATACTGTTCGAGGACCTTAGCCACCTGCACAAAGAATCCTCAGATTCAGTGGGTTTCAGTAGAGATTTCTTGGTTAGTTCTACATCCGTGTGGATTAGGAATCAAATTTAGGGTGATCGTAAAGGAGACAAAAGCCTGCTTAACATACTAGTTGTGAAAGGCGAATGGAAAACCATACTATTCTCAGATTGAGAAGTAGATTTAGAAGAACGCGAAATTTGCAAAAGTTCAGAAAAATTCATGAAGACGAGGATTTAACCTCTTCATGAGATGCATTTGGATTCCTCACAACTTCAATTGGCTTTCCGATCACATAGGTCATAGGTGTTCGAAATGGAATTGGTGTTCTACGACAAACCACCATCTTCCATTAGTGTCAGGTTTTGAACGCATGCCAGACGCTAACTTTCAGCACCTCAAAATGTAGTATTAACTCTAGGAGCAATATTATAACTGTAGAGTGAGGGATCCAGGAACATCAAGTGTTCGAAAAAAAGATGTGGATTGAAAAGTGGTTGTATTCATACCCGTATCTACCCCAAAAAACGAGAGGCGTGAATCCAATTCTTCGGGACAGTCGGCTATACCATTGTCCTGTAGGTTTCCACCATTTGTAGCAGTTTGTCTGGAAAACAAACATATCATCAATTGTGTTATAAAAGGTCCCTCCATACCAACTAATCTACCTGCAGATACTCCCGCTCGCATAACAGGGAAAAAAAATCAGCTATTCTTGCCTAATCTTATCAAGTAATGGAGGCCAACAAAGGACTACTAGGCATTTAGAAGAATTGAATGACCCAACAGACTGTTGCAACGTTCACCTCTAAGTTAAGAAATACTTAAGCACACAAGGTCAAAGATTCAAGAACACACACCTGACCAAAGCAGAAGGTAGGCACAATGAGTGAGCCAGTCTCTAAGGCTACCTTGACGAATCCGTACCTCTTTTTTAGGTATACCACCTGACAGTACATAAAACCGCATCATCCCGAGTCCTAACTATATACAGTCTTTCTCAATCCACAGATCACTCAAAGAAACCCAGATGTTATTCCCATCCTTGAATGAAGTAAACTCAAGACTCCAAGTTACGTTTCTTGCGTATATCGATTCACGAATTTCTCGCACAAATTTAGTAAAAAGAGCAACTCTGTTCTAAACGAAGCCCTAGGTTTTTCCTTGCACCTCATATGTCACTCAACTACAGCCGCAACTGACACCAATATACATTTTAGTTACAATAAATCTATTCAGGTAATTATACCATGCTGAAGTATCCTGGAATGAACAGTGGAGACAACTCTCAATTAAAACTTGAACTAGCAAGAGAATCATTTATCTCTAATTTGGCAAATAGATCTAGCACAACGACGCGAAGAAATTGAGATTAACGTTCCGTACCTCACGCCCACGTTCCATATACAGGCACTCTTGAACACCCCCTGGTATAATTATGACACTCGTCCCTTTTTGGAGAAACTCTGTCATGAACTTCCTTGTGACGCGAGACACACCTAACCACGACCAAACATGCCGCACAACTGGTGTCCAAAAAACCTGCCATTCCCTCGGTTTGGCATGTCATTTTCACATGTGAATAACTTATCAAAAACACTTGGGTTTAAAATCATGCTTATCGTGTGTCTAGTAAACCGAAAATCTGTACTGACTGCTGCAACGCAAGAATGAGATCATATGCAGAGTCCACACGAAACCTCCATGTTTATGCGCTAAGGAAATAATTCCTATATCAAGCAAGTCCCACAGATTTTTCAGAAAAGCAGTTATTAAAAATTTTAAAAATATATAAGAACTAAAATCTTCGGTTCTTATAAAAGAAACTCACCGCTGAGGTAGCAAGTGCACGCAAATTGGGGACTGGAAGGTTCCCAGATAGTGGCTGCAACGCTATGATACCAATTGGTAGCAAAGAATGCGGCTCTGCTGCAAACACTGCTCAATCCAAGCATGCAGGGAGCGAATGTGAGCCTAAAATCCTCCCAGTCAGCAACCTTGATAACTTCGACCTATGACCCCTTCCGCAATATAAAGAGCAACTTAAAAGTTGCTTGCATGCTAATCAAAGTTCTCATTAGCATCACTGTTTTCCAACAGTAATAAATGTTTTCTAACACTGAGTTACACCACAGCAGGTGAATGAGTGCTACTCACCATAAGATTTTTTCGAATCGAATGCATTCTCGTCGTCGAAAACCACCTTTATGGGAAAATATGCCGGTGCGTATTTACATATATATCTGAATTGCTCAAGAGAGAACAAGACGATGGTAAGATGTTACAATAATAAGACGTTACTAATCTGTGATGCATCTCCGCTCAGATTTACAATACAAATGATCATAGTATGCAAAGCTATGCCATCTGTGCACTAAGTCTGAAACAAGAAAATGAATGAACAAGAAAACAAAGAAAAGCAACATACCTCGCTACAGCCTGTCCTAGTCCACCGTTAGGTCGAACAGGAATGAAGATAAGTGCAATCCAGAATGCCAACAATCTGCGCAACTTTCATATAGGCGATTCTCTAAATTTTACAACGATTTTTAAATGTATGAAGAATACGTGTTTTTTAAAAAAGCCCTGAGCTACAACCACGTCAACTGCATTCAAAACCACCAAAGATTGTCTACAGGATCTCTCATTTATATGTGCGGCTTTGAATAGAAACTCAGAAGCTAAGTCTACTGAAGGACTTAAAACTACTCTAGAAACGTCGTGCCTCACGATTGAATTCTCTAATCTCGACATTCCATAGCCTCACCTGCACCTGCAAGTAAACACAAAATTCCACAAACTAATTCCAGATGGAAAAAACACGAATGGGAGCATGATTGAGCTTACGTGAGTGCCCAATGACTGCGCAGGTTTGCTAAACAGATGCCAACAACCAGGACGTTGAGATGGAGTCCTCCCATCCACACTACTATTGCCAGAAACGTCAAAACATCATACTTAAAGCCCTTCTTCAAATCGCCTCCTGCCATAGCTACTGAAGCTTCGATTTTTTACACCTATCTGCGGTGTCCAAGGGGGACGAAGTACTCAGTTTCCAACAACAAACGAGTCACACGCCCTCCTAAAACACAAGTCGCCTTTCAATGTAACCAGGCTTTAAGCCATGATCTGAGATCACAGGAAATTCTCTCTTCTTCACTCTACGTTCTCGGATACATTCTTTACTTCCAAGCTAAGAACGGCACAGTGCCGCTAATTACACTGGAATGATGTGCCGCTAGAGAGTTCAACTCACTCTCCCAAAATAAGGCTAAATATGAGTTCACCGCGGGATACTCCACTGCTACTAGTCCGCGCTTAGGTGGAGTCATCAGAATGGCTAGAAGAGCCTGGATCGCTCTGGAAGCAATTTCTTCATGGCTTTTAGAGTTGGGTACCTTTACAGATCCTCGTATGATGCTATCTCACCAAATAATGTTCCACATTGAAACTTTAGTTTCAATAGCTATTCAAGACCGCATCCATATTATTATTATTATTATTATTGTTGTTGTTGTTGTTGTTATTCTTTTACATTTTACAGGTAGACGTCATTTTCTGGGTATATTTTACAGTTAAAAACTGTAAAGATGAAAGCACCCAGAAAATGATATCTATTTCTTTACCTCAATCTCAAACAGACATCATTTTCTGGGTGCTTTCATCTTTAGGGTTTCTACAAATAGGAAATGTGGGACCGTGATGCGTTTTCGGTGGGCATTTCATAACATCCTTCCTTGATAAGCATTGTCATACATCGTTGCACGAGCTCGAGCTGGCCATGGCGGACAAGGATTCCGAGAGGTTCGTGTTGCGGGCACTTGCAATTTCCGACTTCGACAAAGGTACGTTGTACCGTAATTCTACTTTCATCGACGCACATGGTTTCTTTCAGGGGAGATGGATTAGGTTAATGGAGGAGTGGCAAAGGTGGAGTATGAGGAGTGGGGTTGAGTGGGAAAACCAGATCGTTCAGCGTGTCAGAGGACCTAGGGAAAATGTGGTAAGGTGTAAGGATGCAGATTACTTTATGAATTGGAGAAATTTGATTGTGGCAACTGCAAGGAATTCTTAACTCATTCGAGAGGTTTGGCTGAAATTCTAAGAGCTCAAGGGGTTTGTTCAAAAATGCGAGAACGATTGAATTGTAGTTTAGCAATGTGAATCGGACAGGTTTCATGCAGCTGCTGGGGCAGCTGACCGTCGCGGGGGCCGTCTCAGAGGAGCAATTTGGTGGTGAGCGTCCTCTGTACTCCCTTGAATCAGGGCATCACCTGTGCCTTTCAACTTTGCCTTGGATATCACAGTTTGAATATTGCTCCAACTTCTGTTGCGAAAAATTGCCCAATGCTCGTGTTCTTTCCAATGCGTAAATGATCAAGCGTAGCAGCTCTTTGAGTACCCTTGAGGCTTTGATCTCTCAGCAGTATGCACGAATTAGGAATGCATTGCAAGGTTACTTTAAGTCGGACATGGTGAGGCTGAAATTGTACTGGTCTATTCTGCTACGCTGCTATTTTGAAAGTCACGGAAATATCTTATAATTCCTTTTGTCGTTAAGCAGAGAGGGTGAAATATCTTCAAGAGCTTGGAGATGATCACTATGTTGCTGTGATCGAAGGTGTCTGCTCTTCTGTGCCTATCCTGCGTTGTTTGTTAATCTATTTTCAGTAGATCTGATGCATTATATACACCCAAATGCATTAAACTCTTGTTGTATGAAGCAGACACAGAGAAAGGCCAGATTATAGCAACCGGATCCGTCTTAATAGAGCACAAATTCTTGCGCAATTGTGGCAAGGTAATCACTTCTGTTGCAGTTGTCGAGCATCTATTAAACTTGCTTATGTCTAAGGTATCTGCAATGTTGCGGAATGTATCTGAGTGCGAATGACAATGACTAGATCTGAAAGTGATGCAGGTGGGACATATTGAGGATGTTGTGGTCGATCAGACTGTGCGAGGCCAGCGTCTTGGTCAAAGGTGAGTGGTGATTGACTCCGTTGCTTGCTGCCACTTCTATTGAGTGATTGAATCACACACATTCGAGATGGCTCCCTCACTGTACATAGTGGGAATATGCTTAAGCAAGACTATCCCCTTGGCATCCGTTAAGAGAACAAGTCTAGTTCTGAGTTGACATTCAGCTATTGTGAGATGCAAAAACAGGATAATTGAGTCTCTGACACAATTTGCCAAGGACAAGGGCTGCTACAAGGTCTTTTAGCTTCTCCCCTATATTTAGCGTATAATTATTCTTCTGATTTTCTGGCTTTGTGCTCTATAGCCAACTTAAATTCTTTTCTTTTTCTTTGTGTTGAAACGTTTCGATAGCATTGGTTTGAGACGGAAAATTGTCGAAGAGCGTGATTAATGAATTTCTAATTGCCTAAGTATTGCATTTTGTGTTTTATGCAGGTTATCTTGGATTGCTCCGTTGAAAATGCAGCCTTTTATGAAAAATGCGGCTACAAAAGAAAGGAAATTCAAATGGCTGCATACTTCTAAATATTAAGATTTTTGGATTGTCTTTGTTGCTCTATGATTCTAAGTTACATTTTGTTGCGCTGCTACATCATGAGTTATGAATCTACAATTTCATGTCATTCATTCTCAAGTGGTCTAATTCAGTCACGCTTCACTTGAACACTTTTGGTTCATGGAGTGCATGGCAATCGCTCCTATGTTCAACTCATTAAAATCAGTGCTCAAAGCACTTTAGAAATGAAAGAGAAGCGTTGACACAATAGATAGTGGACTATTTTGATGTGCTTTAGCCAAGTATCATTATTGAAGCTGTCCATTACAAAATCTGGTGATGTAATTTAATTGCACGAAGAAATCTGGTGGGTAGCTGCTGTGACAAGCTTGGCGGGCACAGAACACAATTCCTACAGTAATAATGCTAGATAGATCTGGGATTAATATATCATGTGGACACACTTCTACACATAGGACGGTGGCCTTTCTAGCGTAATAATATGAATATTACCAAGACCTGTGACCTTTTGTCTGATCAGGCGTTTGAGAAAAGACAGATGTCACCGCGTTTGGACTAAAAGTTGATCTAAAATTTGGCATTCTTTCTACCTTCCTGCTAACATTACATCAGAGCACATTATCCACTTCTATAGTTGCAAAACTAGCATGGCCAGTAATTTTGAGTGAAGCATGCGATAAACGAATCATGTAGCAATATGGTAAATAAGCAAGAGTTCTAATTCAAAAAATAGCTTTCTCATCAAATTAAGTGACCCATGGTTTTTAATAACACCTTGTAAAGGAGATTTGTTTCGAGCATCCGAAATAAATAAATAAAAATAAATAAAAATAAAAAACAACCCCTCGCTTATGCCCTTCAATAATGAAGTAATTCACTCGGAAGAATGTCTCTATCATGTCAAATTATTCTCTACACAGCTGTAGACACACTCAAATCTTCTCTTCTAACCGTCTGCAAAATTGACTAATTGTAAACTGATAAAAATGATAAATTTATAAACTTCTGTAGAAAATTCTGAAATTGATCCAACCGTTCGCTGTAATAAGCCATGTTCAAAACTCTCGACCTCAATTACTGTCTACAATCAACTGTAGATTCAAGCATTGATTTCATAACTCTGAGCAACTGCTGGCGCTTGGGCAACTCCGTTCTTCTTTGGACCCCCACCAGCAGGGGGAACAGATGGAACAGCTAATACCTTCGCAGTAGGTATTGAACCTGATGCTGGAACTTCTAGACCCTCTTGCATTGCTTTATTCTTTGCCACTGCGGCGGCAATCTCCTTCGGCATGTACTTCTGCACCCCGACACAATTAACAGCCTTAACTACAAGATATCTAAAGTTAATGCAGAAAATATACACATATAATCATGCGCAAGATGCGCAGTTCAATTGCTGACTACTTAAAGGATCTGGACTACCTCTCCATTACAGGTGATATTACAACAGCAATTACCTCGTCATGCTTAGCCAGAACTTCGATAGCTGCAAAATAACAACCGCATTCCTTCGCTTTAGCAGTGAGGCTTGCGTGTTGGTCAGCACTATTTGGCGGCACGCCTGGATACTGTTCAAACGGTTTAACGAAACCCTCTGCCACTACTGAGTGACCTTCTCTAAACAAGTCCGGTAATGCTCCTCGGTACCTCACAAGAATCTGACAAAGCAAGGTGATTGTCAATTTAAGAGATTCAACTACCGGTATACTAAGGAGCCCTAACAAAAAGGAGCAGATCCATCACCAAAAGAGAAAGCGAGATCACAAGGATCAGTCAATGGATAGATATATTACCAAGGGAAATTAAAACTGCACCCGAACATGAACCTTACAACATCCAATCTTAAGAACGTGAAAAAAAGGAAGAGAATCCTAATCAACAACATACCTCATTCTCAAGATCAGTCACAACAAATTCCATCTCTGTGGAATTTTTGAAGTGATGTACGCTACAGCAACAACACAAAAAGTAACAGTCAGCAAGCCACGTTTAGGGATTTAGGGAGAATCTGAGCGTAAGGATCAGGCAAAAACATTATATCCCACCATCTGAATGAAAGCAAGAATTCTTAGTTTCCTGTCGGACTGTTGTGTAACAATCCTTTCAGTGGCTCCGACTACACTACAACCATCAAACGATTAAGAAGGCCCCGGAACTTGATGGGCTGCAACTTTGAAAGTGCATCAAAAATGAAAAAAAATGTGACGATAGGCTTGAATAGTGAGCTATTATACAAAATTAAGCGACAGAGGGGTAAGCGAAAATGACCTAACCTGCCTTCCAAAACCAAGCCGCCAAGCCTGAATCTATTTTTCTTGGGATCAAGAAAGAATTTCTCCAAAGCCTGCGTAAGCCAACAATATATTAAGAAATCATTCCTCAATCAATATTTAAAACTAGCCAGGTTTACAGATAACCTCCCGACTACATCCAGTATACTAATGGAGTAAGGATTAGCATGAAAAAACATGACAATTATTAAGAATCTTCTACAATGGTCAACTCTTGACTCAACTGTGTCCACAGACAGGTGGCATGAAATTACTGATCTTGTATTCCAAATACCTAAATAGCTGCACTCTCTAATACAGATTTCATTTGATAAAATAAAACCCTTAATGTATTACAAATTCACATAAATCAGTATAACCTTTGCCTTGTAACAGGAGCCTGTACCTGTGAAGGCGTAATATAAAACATGAGGTTCTCTTGAAATGTGTTCAGAATAACAATGACAAAGCCTGCTACTGCTGTTCCAGACAACGCGATGGTCCATAGTCGTCGAGCTTGTAACTGCCTTGCTCTAGCTCCCACATCCACTCTCCCAGCCCTTGTAGCGAGCCCTCTCGTTGTGTCCCAACCACTGTTTGATCAAACAAAGTCCAAACCAATTAAGATCTGTTATGAAAAGTTGCAAGGATTGAAACTAGCTATAAGGTCTCATACTGTACTCATGTATGTCAATTGTATCTATCGTCAACATGAAACGTCAAGGATTAATAAGCAACTCGTGCGCAACCCCTGGTTAGAATTGAACTGCTAAAATAGATGAAGAATTCCACTCGCATCCTATCTAAGTTATTTACTAAACAACAATTTCTCCAATCCTCCTTCGTCTCTAGCAATTGCTTATCTCATTCGGCAATTCAATGTTAACTAGTATGATCCACATCATCCTACAATTCCGAAATCTTAAATGATCCAACATTCCATTCTTCAATCGTCGAGCATCGGTTATAGTTAGGATGTGAATCTGTAAGAGCCGGAAAGTACAACTGCTAAAACAAGCATGGGCAGAGCACTTCCATCGAGACAAAAATCCGAATAATTTAACCCAGTGAATAGACTGAAAAATAATCCAATTATAAACCCTGACAGGAACTTGTGAGAGAATCGAAAGAAGCAGTTGTGATACGATCAAGCGACACCAAAAATCATAAACTAAGAACAAGCAACAAAGGAAAAAGAAGAGAGCAGAAAGAAGGAGGCACCTCACAGATGGGAAGGCCTCCCGCCAGTTTCCAAAGCGACCATTAGGGGCCGACCATGAATGCACAGTCGATGTCATTTGCGATCTCCACAGAGGAGACGGTGCTTTCAAAGCAGCCGCCGCCGCAGTCGCCGCACCACAAACCGCACCCGCTTCATTAACCGGACCAAACACGCCCCTCAATATGGAAGCGGACCGATGGCGTAGCTGCCGAGCAGCAAATAATGCAGCCATCAAGCTCCTCTTCGCTACTCAGATGCAACAAGTCATTTTCCAACCACCCTAAATCGAGGACGCACGAATCCGCGACAACCACCGCAATTCCAAAACCACGAAGAATGACCTGACACCCCCGGCAAATTCACGCAACGCGTGTCACAGTTCCTACAACGCCAACACTCCTCGATCTCCTTAAAACAACACTGCCCCTTATGAAATGAAGAGTCGCAATCGATCACATCCTTCTTCACTAAACCGAAGTAAAACACAAAGCTCAGGACAGAAATCCCTGCAGATGGAGCGGTAGGACCCAACTACGATTCCATTGTGAGACAACCCAACTCGGCTTACCCTAAGAGAGAACCATCTGGGCAATTGAAAGCACCGAAAAGCGTGGTGTTGTCGAAAAATCGTCACGCCGACGAACACGAGCTTCAATGGACCCAACTGGAGATCCCACCGCCACGTCGCCGCTTCAAAGGCCACCTTCTGCGGTCAGGGCCTGTGTGCTGCCCGCTCCTTCTCAAAGCCTACCCGGGGTATCTCGATCACACCCGCCTGTCCTTTGAAACTTTTTACCTTTTCCTATTTCCGGACTAGTTACCTTTTCGCTTGGTGTGAAGGTTGCTGTCTAAATAGTAGTACCAGTTTTTTTCTTTTTACACAAAAGGATTTTTCTCTTTACATTGATCGGTGGTGGTTAAAAGTCAAAAAGGCATTCGAATTTATTCTTTTATTTTGAAACAATAAAACCCTTTGGAGCTTGTTGGTTTTTAAAGAGTTTACAATCAAGTTATGTTATAAAAGCCATAAAATTGCATTCTTCACTTTACAAGTAATTGTGTGGATCAAAAGTGCCAAAGAACAAGATGATGTCTTTCAAAGATTTCTATTTGGATTTGACTTCATTAACTAAATAAAAAATTTCAACAAATCCTTGAACTATTTCTAAGGTGTTCAGATTGTCAGATGTTGTTGAGTAAATTCAATTAATTATGTTTCTACTTTATAAATTTTAAAAATTGTAGGATAAGGTAATATAAACTATGATTATGCTTGGATTGATGTAAAATAGGCTCTTATTTGGAAAACATATCCAAAGAATATAACTTTATTAGATTTATATAATCTAATCCAATCATCAAATTTAAGGGATTGTATTCTTTCTTCAAACAAGAATTATTTTAGTCTTAGAAATTGATTTGAAAAGTTATAATAAAAGATTTTTTTTTCAATTGTAAATATGTATTTTTTTTTCTATTTCTTTTTTTGCCATAAAGCTATTTGTTTGGAGGTTTCATATAAATTTAACTCTTTTTCTCTCCATCTTATGCAATTTAGCTATTATTATAAATAAAATATAGATATCAATTTTAAAAATATGTATTTCACTAAAAATATTTCTTCCACACAATTGAAAATGACAAGAGATAGTTGGTTTTTTATAAATTAATTATTGTTAATTAAGATCTACCAATTCTAAGCCTAATATTAGAGTATTTTTTAATTTAATTTGGAATTAAAATCTATTCAAAATCTTGATATTATATTTTTTTAATTTTAGTTATTTTTTGTATTTATTAATAACATAAGAGATTTTGTAGATTAGAATAATATAAATGTAAGGCTATAATAACTTACTTAGAGAATAATACAATCAAGGCTTCTTGTGCATCAACTACTCATATTCTTCTTACCTTAACTAATTTGTAACAAATATCATATTTCACCTTTGTACAAGTTAAATTAAGAGTTATTCTATAATTAACTTAACTAATTTATTCTACATTCTACCTTAACTAATTTATTCTACAAGGAATTTCTTACTTTAGTTTTTATTTTCTTCAACAATTTTTTGGAATCTAATCTAAATCAAAAAAAAAAAGAAAAAAAAAAAGATATTATTTGCAATTAAAATCCAAGTTACCATATTAGATTTTGCAGTGCATCATTATTATAAATTTTTTTATATCCATTCTACAAATAATTGGTTTTTATATATATATATTTGATTATTTAATTTCTTCCAAACTAAATGGTTTTATCAAATGCATTTCTATTGATATTGTAACTTTTAAAATAATGTTTGCTAAAATATTTTTTATAGCTTATTGTCAGGGATATGAATCTCGAAGAAAGAAAATTGTCAATGCACTCTTATGTCACTAAAAAGAACTAGAAAGTCACTCAAAGATGATATATTATTAAACTAAAATGGCTATTGCTAAAGAAAAGAAGACTAGAAAGTCTTAGAATAAGATTAAAGACTAGAAAGGTATTGACAAGAGTGAAGAAGGCTTTATTCTTGCCTCCATATATACTCTTAACTAAGAGCTATGTGGCAATGTCCTATAGGATCTCTAAAACGTATTGACTTTGCTAGCTACATGTCTTAACTTGCAAGCCAAATTATCTATGTATGCACCACATAGTTAGCTTGTTCCACAAGCTACTACATGAAGTTAACTTATTCTACAAGCTACTAACACATGGTTAACTTGTTAGCCAAGTTTCTATCCTATAAATACATCTAAAATCAATAATAACATTTATAAAGCTTATAAGAAGCTTTCTTATAAGATTTTATGAAATTAATCTATATTTACTTACTTCTACCTAATTATATAAGTAACTATTAGGATAAATTTATATGTCCATGACATTATCCTTCTTTCTAGGAACGAGTTCCTTAAGGAGTGGTCTTCATATATTGAAGCAGTCCAAGATGTGGCAAATTATATTTGCAACATATTCCAATCTTTGCTTTCTTCAAAGATGGTTGATTATTATGGACATATACATATAAACCAATAATTACTTATATGATTTAGATAAAAAGATGTAAAAGTATGTTAATTCCATAATATCTTCTATGGAAGCTTCCAGAAGCTAAATAGACTCTTCTTTGACTTTATAGGTGTCTTTAATTGACTTTTTGGATTAGAAACGTGGTCAATAAGTTGATAGCTTAAAGAACAAGCTAACTATGTGATCTACATGTAGAAAACTTGCCTTATAAGCTAAGGCATGTGTTTTACAAAGTCAACACATATTAGAGGTCCTATAAAATATTGCCACGTAGTTCCTAGTTAAATAGTATATATTGAGACAAGAGTGAAGTTCTCTTCATTCTTATCAACTCTTTTCTTGATTCTACTCTAGTTTCAAGAGTCTCAAGTTTTCTTGTCTTTTGACAATAAGCCATTCCAATTTCTTTTTAATATATATACTTCTTTATTTTTATTTTGTCATTTTTTCTTTAATATGGATTTCATTGGTTTATGCATCATCTTCCAATTCATATCCTTGATAGATTGATAAGAATACACTTACAATATTAGAGTTTTATTTTATCTTGATTAAAAATGGATTACCTCTTTTTCATGATAAGACATAAGCATATTAGGAATTCCAAATTATCCTCTTTTAAACTGATATTATTCTTAGTATTTTTTTATCTTCAAATCTTTTTTTCTATTTTTCTTCAACAATATTAGATATTTCTTTTAATGATTATTATCGCAGAGGTTGTTGAAATGAAGAGTGCAATGGCATAAATACAAGAGCAATTGAGGGAGTTAATGCTTGCAATGCATCAACTTAGCTTACCACTACAATGATCAATAAGAATGGCAGGAAGTGAGGATATAGAAATAATTAGACCTCCCTGAACATCTCTACCAAATCATGTCCCTCCATCCATGGTGGAACATCCTTCAAGTGTTAGAGAACCAAGAGTTGCCATGCCCTAGAAGTTTAATGGTACAAGATCCAAATTTTGAAGATTTATCAATTAAGTATAACTTGTGATTGAACTTCAACCTCAAAACTATCCAACTCCATGATTACAAGTTAAATTCATTGGTACACTTCTTTCAAGTTTAGCATTATCATGATTTTCATCTTTCTTAAACAATGAGATCCAATAGTAGATAATCTAGAGGTATTTTTGGCAGAATTTTGGCCCATGTATAGAAAACATGATACAATTCGTATTGCAATCAACAAGATCCGTATTATGCAATAAGGCAATTGATTTGTAACATTATATGCTTCATAGTTTTGATAACTTGTAACTAATATTAAGTAGGATAATGCTACACTTATTAGCCAATTTTTCTATGAATTACAATATGAAGTAAAGAAATTAATGCTCAACTTATCTAATCCTCTAACATTAAGTCAAGCAATTGACTTTGCTATGAAATGCAATAATTGACTTTTTGAATTTTTATCTGAGAGTCATATAAGTCGACCTTAATATTACTATAATTTGATGGCAACACCAACATCTCCTCAACACATACATTCAAAAGTAAAGGATATACAAATTGATGGACTATATTTTAAATCTCTTATCAAACAAGAAAAGACTCATCGCTATCAAGAAAGATTGTGCTTATATTATAGAAAATCTAAACACATTGCTCAACATTATTCAAAGAAGTGACAAAACTACAAAATGAAGAGCACAACTATCAAAGAAAATAATGTGTCAAAAAACAAATTTATCCAGCTACAATAAGGATTGTGTAGTTGGAATCTTGTACAATTTCTAATAAAGGTCTTATCTTCTCCTCAAAACCCTCTCTTTATTTTATGATAGATGTGCATTAAAGACCTAATAATTATAAAGACCCTCCCTTGATAGATTCAAGAGCCTTAGCTTTTTTTTAAACGTATAAAAAACTAAATTTGTTCATACATAAGTCATAGATGGTCGACAATTGTCTTTTGGAGATGTTACTCATGAAATAATTCTTATAAATATAGTAATAAATAGTCATAGTAGTTGTGTAATCTTTAATATAATTAGATTTTCCTCTAATCTAGTCATTTTAGGTTTATAGTAATTAAAAAAGAATAATCTTTGTGTAGATTGGATTTCTCGTACTCTTGATTTCTCTAAAAGTATAATTAAGAGTAAAATTAATGTAATAGAAAGTCATAAGTCTAGTACAATAAAACTTGTATTTGTAGGTGCGAGAGCTTTCTTGCATGTTGTAAAAGTAAGATCACCTTGTGTCATTTATGCCACACCTATTTTTAATGATACAAAGACTTCAAGTGGCATTTCAAGACAATATCAAAAGTTTCAAGATGTATTTGAGAAGAAAAATGTGGATACTCTTCCAAAACATTGTTCTTATGACTACTCAATTGATCTTCAAGAAGGAGCTCAATTACCATTTAGATCAATCTATAGTTTATCACAAAATGAATTAACTAAATTCAAAGAATATTTTGAAGAAAATCTTATCAAGAATTTTATATGCCATTCTAAATCGCTAGCAAGAGCTCCGATCTTATTTGTGAAGAAGAAAAATGGATCATTGTGAATGTCTATTGATTATCGAGGACTCAATAAGATCACCATCAAAAATAGGTACCCTCTATCTTTGATATCTAGACTTCTTGATTAATTGAATCAAGCTAAG